TCGCTCATTTAAATGTGAAGTGAAAAGTGAGGTTGCAGAATGCACTCTGGCTGGACGATGGATCACAGTAAACAATGACAGTAGATTATGAATAAAGCCGTGCAGAGGTACCAGGGATGGTAAAAAGTTTTAAATATGAAAACAGAGGCCTACATGGAAGTCTTAAAAACACGGTGATATTATCTGGCTGCAGTTAGTCGATTAATCAGACATTTCATTGACAGAAAAAGTGTCATCTTTGTATCAAGCAAAAATGGCAAATGTTCTCTAGTTTCAGCTTCTGAAATGTGAGAATTTTGCCTTTTTTTTGTTTCATATTTATAATTATAAACTGAACATCTTTCATTTTGGTCTTCTAGTGGTACAAAATAAGCTATTTTGCTAAGCTATTATAAGATATAATCCTCACATTAATAAATATTTAAACTGATTGTTAATTGTGCCCATTTCTATCATAATTTTTAATAGTCGTATTGGGACACAGCCCTATTGTGGGAAGGAAACGAGTTAAGAGCCACAGAATAACTATAGATATAAATAGGTATATAAATAGCCTCATCAAGTAGGGTCATGACTGTTTATGTCCTGATTTATATGTCTGTGTTTGACTTTTCTTGTTTTAAAACAAAGGAAAACATGAAGGAAGTAATTTTTATTAAATCTGTTATTGTATTCTGCAGGTGCAGTTTGTTGCGGTCCCAACTGTGAATAAAGGTCAGGGAAATAAAATTTGCCTATAGTTGACAGGACCTTAACCATAAAACATTGAGAACACAGAAGAAGGTGGGAGACCTGTCGTGCCACACCTGTGTGGGATCCTGTACAGATAGCGTGTTGGGAGGATTGCACATCCTCTCTGGCGTATTGTTTCTTCAGTTGCTCAACATCCTTAAGGCTGTGAAAGGCTGTTAAAAATGGCAGTAAAGTTCTTTTCACTGGGAAGCCAGCGTGCTGCCAAACCCTCTGATTTGACCATAAACAAAAACATTTCCTGTGTATTACACCAGTTTCCCTCAATTGTACTTATCCTGCTGAAGAGAAGTAGAAAGTCTCTGGAGGAAAATTAATGTGGTTCCATTGCTTTGTTTTGATATTATATTGTGCATGTGTGGAATAAATAAACAAAAACGATGAATGCACATCATAAAACAAATAAACAAAACTAGCTTTCCTTGAACTTTTCTGGATAAGATGAATGCATATAAAGTGTTGAAATAACTAAACTATTAAACTGACATTGTGGATTTTTTATGGATCAGTTTATAAATATGGGATTTGTTTTCAAATTGTTCAGATTCATTCCCTCTGCTGTGACCACATTAAGCATATCAGCAGTTTGCATGTGTAAACTAGATATGGTCCTCCACATCCTATTATCTACTCCCTGATTTTTTTATTTTTTTTTTCCAAAGGGGCTGCGCCTTCCCAAGTCAGGCCATCTTCATGCAACCATTTAGAGAGCTGTTTGTAGACAATGAGAGATTACCTAGGTGTCGTATTTCAATATTTATAAATCAGGAAATCCTTCTTAAGAGGAAAGAATGGTACGGTAAGTAAAACCTGGAGTACACAAAGTTTCAGGCGTTTCCTCACTGCAATCATGTAGATAGATAAGAACATGGCAAGGAACAAAACAGTTTCTATGGGCACGCAGGCCACATTACTGCTGTCGGATAAAAAAAAAAATGCAACTTAGAAGGCAGCTTTATTTATAGCTTGAGCACCATGTATGTTTGAGTTTATCCAGGCAGGAATAAATCACTTATATTAGCTTAAGAATGGCACATTTTTCCCATTCCTCAGAAGACCAGGTAGCTTTTAATGTGAGGTAAAAACATAAAAATAACCACAAATAGACTTTGTTCCATGACTGCAGTTTGGTTCACTGGTCTTCTCTTGTAAAAAGCTTATTTTAGGTACCTATATGAGAACACCAGGCCCAAGCTGGTAGTTTCACAGCAAGGATACACACTAACTGCAAAGTTCAAATGTCATGTACAGTTCATCTCAGTGAGTGCTAGTTTTGAAGCATGCTGACATTTTTAAAACATAACATTCAAGTCATCAGTAAACCAGAAAGGGGAAGCAAAATGCCTGACCTGACAATTGGAATTAGCAGGTCACTGTATGTCACCCAGTCTGACTCAAGTATGTGGGAGAAAGGTGTTAAAACACTCCTCTGGGAGTCACATGAGTGAAGTTCCACCTTCAGTAAGTTGAAATTCCTCAGAGAAATGGCACTGCATTGACGTGATGTCGTCATGGGTACGTTATCCATTCATACTGTAGGTCTGTGTTGCTGCTGCATCATGTCAGTGGCTCAGAGCGGTCCTGTGACAGCACGAGGCCAGAGAAAGAGGCTCAGGACGACTGGAGCGATAAACAGACCCATTCACAGGCTACAGAAGCTCATACACATACATCATGCTAAGGGCTGCTGGGGTTGACATATATGACATGCAGTTATCTGCCCTTTCCATCAGCTAATGGTTTCTTTTCAATGTGTTTTTCCAAAGCATTAAAACAAAGCTCTTATCAGAAGCTATTATTGCTCTCAACACTGTCTTTAATTTAGTAAAAACTGAACAGGTGCTATTGTTCTTACTGCTCCATTAACAACAGGATCTTGTAGGCAAGTTATGCAAAATTTAACATGGGTGTACAGTGAAATAAAGCTGTCAAGTCTCAAAGTTGTATTCAAATGTCACAGTTTTATGGCTGCATTGAAGCTGGCTGTGTCGCTGGCAAACAAACGAACTGCAACAGCGCATTAGACAGTTCACTGACTGCATTGAAACTGTTTACTAAGTTAGTTTGTTGCTATAAATAGGGATCACCAGTGCTGAAAGAGAGGAAACAGTAGCCCCTCTGTCCCAGCAGCGATTTCCCTGGTGTTTGAACAGCAGGAGAGTCGGGGGACCTGAACTCGGGCTAATTAGCTAATTCATCAGCCCTGAAGGGAATGACATGTGATTAGATACAGTCAACAACAATCACTTTTCTATGCGAGAGATGTTGTCATGAATTTCTCCACGATCTGAGCAGCTGCACACGATAATAGCAGGAAAATATGTGGGGAGTAAACAGCAGTAAGTACAGTAAGAAGAAGAAAATCAAAAGCAAAGGCAGACAGTTGAGCACATTAAGCTGTGTGGTGGAACATAAATGTGTCGGCTATGTTTACATGAATACTGTCCCTAACTACACATTTAGATAGGCTACCTTTATTTAATTGAGTATTTCCTTTTTATTGTACTTGATGCTGGGCAAATATTTTGCTTTGTACCCCACAACTTTTTTGCAGATTATGGCTTTACATAAAAAGATATAACAGTCGTATAAATATTAGAACAAGTGCACAAAAGTAAAAAAAAAAACAGCTACTACATTGAAATTAGGTGTATACGGTAAATGATTACATCTTGTAGCCAGTCACAATAGGATAGGCCCTGATCAGATCGTTATCTTCTGCAACTGCCTGTTCCTCTAAAGGTTTTATGTGTATGTAGATATCTGTATCTTACTTGTGCATATGTATACTTTTGTTCCTCTTTATCTTTTGTAATACCGTATAGCAGTTTATGTTGTTAAAAAAACACTAAAAATATGTTTAGAAAATAAATATATAACCGAAAAGAATATAGTCAAATGTAACCCCTTTGCAATCATCAGCCTTTCAATAAGTAACTGTAATTCAATTACACATTTTTTTCTCAGTAACTGTAGACATGTAACTAGTTACTGCCCAACACTAAAATATGTTTATATTAATATAACACCGGAGTACATTTATTTTTGATATTTTTATAGTACATTTGGCTGATAATACTTGCACACGTTTACTTGAGTAAAATTTCCAATGCAGGGGTTTTACCTGTGGAGTATGTTTATATTCTGGTATTAGGCATATTATTTAAACAAGGGGCAGCTATAGTAAATCTTCCACCCCTGACAATTAAATATTTTTATTTACAGTGATTTCAGATGATGTTGGCATGGGCACTGTTCAGGATGGCATTAACTAAACAAATTCTTTAACAAGGAGAGCCCCCTAGTGCTCAAATACTCACACAGTAGGGTCAAACTAGAGGAATTTTGACTCATTTTTTAGGGATTATAACTTCTGTAAATGTGCTCCTGGTTTGTGCTCTCATATTGTAAGACTAAATAAACAGGTTAGCTTGCCTAAAACCATAAAACAACTATAACTGTCACTTAAACAACACAACAGCTGCCACCACATAAGTAAATACTAAATAAATGTGCCTATAAGTTATCAAATAATGTTATCACCTTTCATACACCTCGCAGTCCACTGTATAAAGTTGCTCTGCACCTAGCCGGGTTAGGGACTGTTTACTGTGATGTAAAAAGAGGGAGACATGTAGGTATTTTTTTAAGCACAGGGAAAGGACTTATGTTTTTATTTCGGCTCAGGGGAGGGGCATATAAATTCAAATGGTTGCATTTTGTAATTTTTTTTTTTTTTTTACAGCAGATTTTTAAAGAAAACATTACTTCCACACCTGTCCATGTTTTCTTTACAAATTGCCAAAATTCAGGGCACCCTGTGGCTCAGTGGGGAGGGTGAGCACCCTGTGTACAAAGACAATGTGCAAGTTTAATCTAATAACAATTTTGTTTCCACTAGTCACCCAGGGAGGCGCAAGGAAAAATAATTGTAGCTTCAGGGAGGATCAATAAATAAATAAATGAAGTCACACTCCAGTCACCACCCTCCTCTGACAAGTAGAGAACAGTCCCTTAGCTTACAGGAAGAGTATTTATTTAAATTGAAAGTTTCTTCCTTTAACAACAGCCAACTCTATCCGACTGTAAAGACTGTGTTTACGCATTAAATGTAATGTAAAACGACTATTTAGCGTCCATTTTGTTTATCTGAAACCCCCCCCCCCCTGCTGTTGCCATAGTTACCAAGTAACAAACCACAGGTCGCGAGCCTGTTAGATTGTCACATTGGACGTTATCACAGAAAAAGAGCTTTTTAATCTACAACGATATATTAATAAATAAATAAATAATAGGCCTGCTGATAAGGAGGGATGGACACCAATAATACACGGCCTATTTTCCCTTGGTAAGTGACATTTAAGCTCGTCTGTGTCACCATTTTGACAAAATTATAAAACTAGTTTAACAGTTGTTTGTTGTTTGACAAGTAGTTAATGTAGTGCTGTGTTAAGTAGGACTTACTTACTAATACAAAATATAAACCACCAATTAATCAGGTGTATTATCACAGGTTCAGCTCCCAGCACTAAAAGCTTTCCATCATTTCACAATAAAATCCCTCTATTGCGAAAAATGACATTGCGGACCCTTGGAATTGCTTGATTTATCACATTTCAACTCATAGCCTTATTCACACTGACTAATCCAGCTGGAGACCCAAACGAGCAAGAGAGCGACACTGCTTGCAGCTTTAATTACTTTTGGTATTTTAAGTAGGCCTGTATTTTATTTTTTAATGCTAATACTTTTGACTTTTACCTAGGCTACGTATTTTTTTTTTAAATATCAAAGTATTTTTACATTGTAGTATTTGTTACTGTTACTTAACTACTTTGTGTACCTATCAGTAGTTTAATACATAACTGCATCACATTATTATAAACTGATATGAGGTACTTCTATTTCTATTCTATGTTCCACTACTCCAATATTGTTTGAAGACAAATATTACACCATTACTTAGGTAAGATTTTAAATACAGGACTTTTACTTATTTTTATACTATGGTATTGCTACTTTTTCGTACACAAAAGATTGGTGTTCTTCCTCCACCACTAATGTTCACCAGTAGTCAGTACAATCTTGAATAAAGACTTTTACCTGTGACAGTATTTTTACTTCTATGAATGCATTTTCCACCACTGATTTATTATTGGCAATGCCTCATTGTTAGCATTAATTTTAGCTAATTTAACTTTGTGTAATTAAGGGTAGTTTCATCCAGAACAGTACATCACATTATATAAACTAATTATATGTTTTCTATGTAAATGCTTAATTGCAAAGTCACCAACTACAGCTGTGAATTTAATGTAGTGGAGTGAAAAGTTCAGTTTCCCTCTGGAACATAAGTATACAGTAACATAAAATGCAAACAAGTGCCTCTCAATTTTACTTTAGTGCAGCACTTGAGTGATTGTGCTTTTTACTCTCTGCTACTGATGCAGACACTGCCTGGCATACAAGCTGTAATTCAGACACTCGAGAGTCTCTGTGTCTTCCACTTGAGGATTTACAGTATTAATATATGTAAATATGATGTTTTATCACTTCCAACCCTTCATAGCTTCATTTTGCTCACCTGAACTGAACCTGTCTGAGGACAGAGAAATAAATGGAGATGAGGGGAGGTGAGAAATACTCAGAATTCACAGGAGCAGCAGAAGGGAGAGGCAGAAATAGATAAGACAAATATGTTACAGCATATCACTGCTGGTATGTACAGACTGCTATTTAAAATGGTCACTGAGCTGCTTCATTTAGACCTGCAGTATCTGTGTGTTCATGTCAACGACCAGTGGGATTAATGTACTTTAAGGTTTAAATACCTTTGAGATGAGTACTGAATACTCTGATATACAATAAAACCCATCATTAGCCTGGTGTTAAGCAGAGAAGCAGAGTCAAAGAGACGAGAATAACAAGAATACAGTCATTATTCTGAACTCCTCAAACATATCACAGGACAAGAGATATGTGTAATGCTGATAGGAAATTTGGGACAGAATCATGTGCTGTCAAGCCAGAAACATTATCAGCAATTGAGATGACTGAAGTAGGAGTATAACTTTATATCAAGCTACCGTTATCTCCTGCTCAAGTCTGGAAGAATGTCATTCTATTTATTAGGGGTTCATGACATTGAAGTTCATATGGGTGCATCTGTGAAATATTTTTGTTGCTGTAATAGGCTGTCTTCCTGTTTTTGACTGTTGTTTTATAAGTCATTTGCTTAAAAAAATAAATTCTGTGGATAAAATAACCATATAGCATTGTCTGTTTTTGCTTGACAAATACAGATACCCCACCCAATCAGATCTGCCCGCACCATTGACTCATTGAAGTCCAGACTCAAAACCTACTTTTATTCATTAGCGTTTCAGCCCCCTGCCTCTTACGTATGCCTTTTTAGCATTTAGTTGGGTTGAGTCAATACATTAATGCAAAAAAATGTGATGCTGCAAAATATAACATCACTGAGAGCTACAGGAGGCTTCTTTGTATAAGCACAGAACGACATGTCTGAACGTGTAACCAGTTTTTATATATGGTTCTATCCATCCCAACAGAATAAACCCAATTATGATAAACAACACAAAGAAACGACACATCAGAGCAGGCTGAATTACTGTCAGGCCCTTGGTAGAGAATACAAATGGTCTTATCTTCTCCTTTTACATCAGAGATACAACACAGTGACTGATCTTCAGTCAAGTACAAGCCAAGTGTCCAACTGGCAAAACATAAAGGAGGATATAAAAAGACGACTCAGAGAGCAACGTGCATGTGGTTGAAATAGAGATGCACTTCCTGCTTAAATATGGAAAAAAGATCCAGGACGGTGAAAGTCTGCTGAACTAGCATGTAAAATAAAAAACAGTTCTCCTACATTTTAAAATCCACTGAGATAAGGAAAACATAGCCTTTTGCAGTCAGATATATGCCATCCTTTAACTGAGTCTTAGGTCAAATTTTAATAATTGTTCATATTTTATGTTGTGGATTATGGTGCACAGTACTCTAACAGAAACAGGAGCAACTATACACTATTATACTGTCTGCCGTTTTGTGTCTGATAGTATCCCTGGGGCGAGGCTTTGAGAGGATACACAGCTGATACTGCAGTTTGCTTATTAAGTGTCCTTGACTATTATTATTATCCCTAACTTGTCTCCATATTGTTTCAGCTCATATTCAAGTATCTGGAACTGCTTTTCTTTTTTGTGTTAATTCTTAGGTACAAAGAGAGGTTGCAGACCAAGTATCTCAAAGGCCAAGCAAACAAAATTTCCATGGTTGGCAGTTGTTTGCGTTTTGCAAATGTGAGCCTTGACGACTTCAATGACTGTTCATCCATCTTATCCGGGGACCGGAAAGGTGTCTCACCGGTTATTTTCCATGACTCTCCGAACCACAACTCCTGGCAAAAGCCTAGAAAGTGCATCTCAAAAGAACAAGTCTGCTTTTCAAAGCAGATGATCCAGAAGCAGATTCGCAGAGAATATGTGGCTGCTGTGGAGGAGAAACTCAAAGAGCATCCTCTGGCTATGTTCCCGCACTATCAGGATCACATGACCCCAGAGGTAAGTGGAAATGACAGCAGTCTATGTGCCAGAACAATGACAAATTAAGAGTTTGAGTTGAGTGTTGTCGTCATTTCTCTACAGTTATTTGACAAGGTGGTATCCGTTTTGGACCCAGACATGAGTGTAAACAGTGCCTCTGCACTTCCTACGCCCACAGGAGACCATGCGGAGGATTATGAAGATGAGGAAAACTGTACAGAGCCAAGAAAGGAAGACCTGGACAGAGCCAAACAGGGAACTTCTGCCAATAAAATGCAAGTGTACTGGCAATCGGATTGGTAGCATTAATAAAATTGTAATTTTTTTTATCCATTTGGTCCATCCAACAAGTAAATATGAAGATTCTGTCTACTTTTCAATCACTTACAGCAGCTCTGATGTCCAAAATCCAAGTCCCAGAAACCCTTATGTTCTACACATGAATAAAAATGGTACCAAGAAAGGCAGGACGGTCAAAGTGAATAAACTGAGCACCCACGAAGACATGAAATCAGCTGCCAAACTTTTCAGCAGATGGTTTGCCTCCCCAGTAAGTCTACTACACTAAAAGAAACTGAAAAAACAAAATAAATGTCACTGTTTGTCAGACATGAAAACCAATATGATGTTAAAACGATGATACAAGGGACTTATGTTTTGACTCTTGCAGGATGAAGACACAAATGTCACTGATGCTGCATTAGTGGGAAGTTTTGACGGTGGCCTTCAAGACTCTTCATCACCAACAGTTTCTCAGGGCAAGAATGAAATCCTGTCACAGCCACAAACAGGCAGGACCGATTACGTTTCAAAACCCTCTGAAACCAATAAGGTGCAAGAAGAGAAAGGTTCACAAATAGCCGCTGATTAGAAAAATCCAAGAAGACGCATGGGTAAGACACACACAACATGTCTGAGGAGCTTTTGCTGGATCCAAAGAAGAGATAAAAGGAGGATGACTATGTGAGACAGTTGGTTTGTTGACAGAATGAGGAGCTGAAACAGATGTATGAAACCTTAGCTGTGAGGAGTTATGTAACCCACAATAGACTGTGACTGTCAAGGCTAAAAGGCAAGACTATACATTCGGGGGGGGGGGGTTCAGAGACCTGTGTGTGATGTTTTCACAGCATTTGTATACAGAAAATGTACTGTAAGAAGAGGAACAAAAGGACAAGTCTGTCTGAAACACGTCCTCTTTTTCTCACTGCAGTTTGTGTGGGTTTGTTTCAGTATACGAGGAAACATGGATGATTACGCACTGTGTGTAAGCAGAGGTTTTATGTTTAATGGATGCCTAATATTTACCTGAACAGCCAAAATAGATGCTGCATTATCGTTAACTATTCCTCCCTATTTCTACAAGCTTGTTATACTGTGGGCAGCCATATAGACAAATACATGATAAACCTACGCTATGAAATAACCACTCAACTGCTCATGTTTCTTTAAAAACTTTATTTAAACAATAAATTACAAAACTACATCTGATTGGAAATCATCTTTTAACACTTCATCTAGGGAGTCTTCGAAATAGAAAAGGAGCTTTCTGAAAGACAAAAAAGTGAAGTAATTGTTATAAGGGGTGGGATTACAGAGAGTATGATTAGTCAATAACATTTACACGATTTTAATGACATCAGTTTAGTGAGCTGCTGAAGGACATGTAACGGGGAACTTTACTATTGCTGAAATAGATTTTGTTGCCTCATTCCATCCTGACGCCTCACACTCATGTGCTATGACATTTCTTGCTATGCTGCCGTTGATGTGAGGGAATGTGAGGGAATGTCTCTCTGTCTTATTTGCTATTGTACAACTTTATTAAAGCATTTCACTTTGTAAATGTTATTCAACTCTCCCTTTGAGTTAATATGTAGTATGATAAAGTGATAAACAGTATCTTGAAGAAAAACCCACAAATGACTCAGTCTATGAAAATAAAATATCACAGAAATACACTAAGAGTAGAAAGGACATTTACATTCAAATGAACACAGCCGGATGGTTAAGGCAACAATTTTTATGTGTAACAACCGTAGCAGGCTACCTTCCATATAAACAAACTGACTTGCAGGAAGTTGTGAAGTCACTGAGGTGAGGTTTTGCAGTAACGACTGTCTCTGTTTCCTTGCTACTAGAGACGAATTGAGGGTTGCTGAATTTATATAAGTGTCATCTTATAAGAAAATTAACTCATCAGGGTATTTGTTACCATAAAAACAAACAACATTGCAATTTTCTTTTGTGCTAGTCAAATGACCATGGCGAACAGTTCAATGTCCTTTCTACTCATTCTATCTCTATGGTAAATATGATGCACAATATTAACAGCTTACTGATAAGAGGGGTCAGCCTCAGGTCTGCTGTGTCTCACTGTCAGCTGTTTGGGTCAGAGGTCAGGAGAGAGTGGACAGGTGATCTGCGGCCCAGCGAGAGTATGTGCGGGGAGGATGTGTACCTCGCTGCTGGACTTGAAATAACACAGCCTAGAAAGGTCATTATATATGTTAGAGAACTGAATATGGATGTTGGCAAAGATCATCATCATCCATCATTTGTTGTATTTAGTTTGTCTGTCCTATACAAGGCTGCAACTATATATTTTATTTCTTGATTTATTATTTGGTCTTTAAATGTCAGAAAATAGTAAAAATACCAAGGTGACGTCTTCAGATTGCATGTTTTGCACACCAAACAATCAAAATCTCATAAAAATGATATAAAACTGAGAAAAGCAGGAAATCCTGATGAGACTAGTTGCCAGATTTGCTTAAGAAATTCCTTGAGTGGGGTGCCCAGTAGCTCACCCGGCAGAGCAGGTGCCCAACATACATGGGATGGCATGCAGCAAAGGGCCGTGGGTTGGAATCAAAACTACAGTCGTTGCGGCAGGGACATGCCCTTTGTACATGCGGCGCCTACTCTACCAGGTGAGCTAGTGGGTGCCCTAGTGACAGATTTCTTTCAGTTGACAGACAAATTATGTTTTAAACACTCACATTTATAAAAAGGAGTAACAAGAAACTGAAATTATTTTGCTGGATTGCCTGAAAATGACGAAGTAGTAAAGAAACTCACTCTCACTGAAGGATTTATTGTGGATCGTTTTCCCGTTGAGCTCAGCTGCCTTCAGGAAGTGCGGCTCGCTGTACACAGTGTATGCACAACAGACATAGATTACATCACATTAAGTAGCCTGCAGCACTTTGCGGTGTCATGCATGTTGCATGAGGGGTGAAAGGTCACGTGGGTAGATGGTGTGAGAGCCTCCATGCTCAAAACATTCAAATTTTTTGAAATAAAAAAAAAGATGGGTTAAGTTTGCTCCCTACCTGCCACAGGTTTTTCTTCTAAATCTGGAGGGAGCTTTAACTTCTTCTGCCTTGTCAGTCCTGCTGTAGGTGTATGGGAATATTTAAACGTACAGTGAGACATTACACATATTACATTTCATAACTTCAGACACAAACAAGTTTCTTGACTTTAAAAGGTCAACAGCTCATCTTTTTTTATGATATATTACAGTAAAAGCAGTGAAACATGGTGTGGTCACTGAAACAAGTCATGTATGGTCCCCCTCCCCCTCCTCCTCCACTCCAAATGACTTAATAGCATCACATGATTTTCATCTGTGGCCTAAACTAGCCTAAGAGCGAAGCTAATCCTTGAAATGTGTGGGAACAGAGCCAGACGTACAATGTGGTTCTGTGCACTCTCTCCGGCGCTGACCTCCTCCTGTTATCTGTGTGTGGTCTGTGGTTCTCCGAAATGACTCCTCGCAGCTCCTTGACGAGAGACCTGAGCTCCTGGGCGGGGCTCTCCTGCTGGAGGAGGGAGAGAGACACTGTCAATTCACTGCTGTGATGTCAATATTATAAATAGCTGGTCTGATTGGCTTGTATTTTAACAGAGAAACATGAGAACACAAGACAGTATTACACATTTCTGTAATTCATCAATTAGCAACAAGATCTTTTATTCTTATCTCAGAGCCGAACAGTGTTTCACTGAAATGATTTGCGGTCAGGTTTCTCTCCTTGCCACAGGAATGTAATGCCGTGTATGTTTTTGATTTAAAGGCCTAGCAGATGTGCTGAGCTTGTGTCTGTGCAGCCAAATAAACAATGATTCACACATGCACTTGACTGGCTGGAACCGTAGGAGACAAGCAAGATATAAGGAGTTCCTGGCTGTACCGTGATCTGGGTGTTGGAGGCGTGCTGGGAAGAGGGTGGAGCAGTGAGCGCAGATGGGAATGGGGAGTCCAGGTCAGGTGGAGGTAAATTCAGAGCTGTGCGCAAATTTTGACCTTGGAGCTCCTATACAAAAGATAAAATTGGTTCACAGTGAGATTTGTTGCTCAGCTCCCTTTAAATATGTGAGTAAATCTGACTAGATTAAGACATAACTATCAAAACATGCATGATGAAGAGAAAACAGCAGATAGCATAAAGCATCTACATTAAATATAGTTACATTTTCAGGTATGCATACTGTATATAGAGTGGAAAAACACTCTTTCTGCTTCCAAAAAGACTCTTTGTCTGTAATAAACTCTACCTTCAAGTCCAGGGCGTGTTGGAGTTTCAGACGGAAAAAATCCTGCTCCTGCAGCTGGATGAAATCTTGACAATCTGCAAAGCTCTCTGACATCTTTGGGAAGATACAGAGAATGTGAAATGATAACACAAACAGAGGCAAAGCAGGACATATAAGGGTCTTTTTTATCTGAATATATATACTAACATTTTTGTTTTGTTTCAGAGGGAGATAATAACTGTTCAGAGAAAACAGAAAACAAAATTAAATGAGAGTAATTCTTGGAATGAGAAAAAGTTATTCAGATATTGTTTCTGTTTTAAAACTGTTGCTGATCATCAAACTATTTTAAATACCTTTTCTAACAGGCTTTTTCTATCAGTATCTATATTGGGACATTGTATGCTTTTATTTGATAGTAGATAATAAATGAGGGGGGAGGGAGATTGGGTATGAAATGCAACAAACTCGCTGACCAGACATGAACTGTGGATGTTACAATTCCAAAAGTGGAGTTGTATGAGGTTCTTATGACCATAATCAGTGTATTATCTGTACTAGATGGTGATGGTGGTTGGTACATCCCTGCTTTACCTTGCTGTCAGACAGCCCTTTCTGACAAGGAACTGAAGCCCTAATATTGCTCTCTTTAAAGCCTCTAAACTCCATTGACAGAAACTGTTAACTGTTCCTTGCTGGACACAGGAGATGCCTCGATGAATTAGTTCGTTTGTGTTAATGTGTGACTTTTGTGAATCTGA